ACAGTTTATAGATATATTATATCTAAATAAATAGATGTTATATGTTTTTATCAAAGCAATAATTGGCATTTAGAGGGCAAAGGAAACCTATTGAAACTAATAACAGAGGTAATTATATTGAACTTGTTTATTTATTAAGTGCGTCAGATAAATAATCTATTAAAAATACATTTAAAGAAAGAATTAACTGATTGCCTCTGGAAGTCAGCTTCTTATAGAAACACAGCTTCCCTATCATCAAATGTCACGGCACGCCCCTGTTAAACATGCTTCAGCAGTTAATTCTACAATTTCGTCACTTATTTCATTTTTATACTTCTCTAGAAATAATTTTGCTCTTGAAACTATATTCTCTTCATCCATTTTATTAATTTTCCATAAAACTTCAAAAAAATTGAAAATTAAAGAAATTGCTTGAAATTGACGAGTAACTATCTATTATTGAATTGATAATTTTGTTAAAAACATTTAAATGAAAATATTCTTCAGCAGATTTTTGGTCTTTTAATTGATGATTTATTTCAAATTCTGGAGTGATTTCATTTTCAGTTGCAATTTTTTTACATTTATCAAGAACAGACTTCCATGTTTTCTAAAGTTGTTCTACATCTTTAATTGGGTTCTCAATATTATCTTTTTCTACATCCAATGCTGCTTTACGAGATTCGATAATGAGATTTGCTTGATGTAACAACACTAGTATTTCCAGCCAAACTGTAGACATAAGAACACATTCAAATTTTGACAGGTATTTTATAAAAGCAGGAATCTGTGTATGTGCATCAATTGAGTAAGGGCCACCTTTCTGTTCTATTGGCCCCATCGGTTTTGATTTGTAATCGGTCTCGGTCCTGTTCCTCCTACGTGGAGGGCCGTACATTCTGTAAACTACTTCTCAACCCGCCAATTGGGTTCTGGTACCTGCTTTGTATCCAGGCCACAAGGGTCTGGCACTCACGGTCTCTCTGGCAAATTATGTATAGGTTAATAATCTTACTCTGTGTCGGGACAATTTTCTGATATCTGTCACTGTAGACAAATTTGTAACACCTTGTTTATTCCTTTTATTATTCGGCCCCGGTGCTGGTCTTTATGGGATCCCTCCCTCCTCCCTTCAAACACTTTATCCCACCCCGCTCTCTCCATACCCTTCCCCCCCTCTTTAGGCTATGCCAAAGGCTCGGCCATATCTATCTTCACAAAATCTTCACAATATGTGCATCAATGGGAAGTCTTCCTAAATCTATTTCATTCAAAGCAGATTGCAAAGATTTCAAATTTCAAGCCACTGGTTTCACAGCTTCTAGCCTTGCTGACCATCTTGTTTTTAAAATATCATGTAAGAAATAGCATGTTAAATGTTTTTTTAAAACCTCTCATCTTCTTGGACTTCCACTAAAGAAATTAAAAATTTGCTGGACAGTACCAAAAAAAGTTATTGATTCTTTGCAAGATTCTGCAGAATCCACTCTGACAAGATTTAAAATATGGTTTCCACAATCAGAGAATGTACAATTGCTATTTTCATGCAAAAAAATTGCTTGCACACCATTATATTTTCCTGCCAAATTGGCTCTGTTGTCATAGGCTTGTCCCAGACAGTTTTTAAAATTCAATTTTAAAAACTGAACAGGTGTCATTCTCTGTTTTTATGCCATTTTTACTGGGGGAAGTGGGATTCAGAGATGGAGGAAGAAGTAACTTTTTAATATGGATGTGTGTAGTGATTGGCCAGAAGAACATCCCCTCCAGCCAGGGTTGGTCAGGGTGATATACTAGCCAATCAAGAACTGGCTTGTATCTCTATGACTCCTCCTACAGAAATTTAGAATTTAATTTTAGAAATGTTAAAATTTAGCAAATCACTGCCTTCTCCATTTTTTGTCTAACATATTAAGTTGCCTAGTTGAGGTCCCTACTATTGCGAGGCCTGGGGCAGCTGTCCCTCCCTCTGATAGGCCCTGCCTATAGTGGAGAGTCCTTGGAAACAACTGGAAGTTTAGACATCCTTCCTCCAGTTCTCAACTTTTGGACACTTGGCAAGAGTGCCAAAACGAGTGGTGGCTAAAGCTTTGATCAGAGTATCAAAACAAGAGCATTAGCCTAACATTTGACATTCAGTGAAAACATCAGATGAGAGCAAGTTGGAAGGTGACCTTTTACCTTTTATACTAACTTTCTATCCAACAGCATCATTGGAATATCACGCCATGCTTCTGACATGAGAAGGAAGTCAGGCGGTTTTGCGGATAGTCAAGTGAGATACCGTACTCAAACTATCACTATAGGAGGAACTAAATTGTTATTCTCTATGAATCTGAAAAAGTAAAAAACTGATAATTTTTCTATCAAGTTTAAATTGAATTAATTTCAACAATATTTTAACAAAATATCTCCCTTAACTCCAGATTCTCACAATTTTATTAAATAATTTAGAATACTCTGGAAGAAATGAATCAGTCCGGAGCTTAAAAACTATTAACTGAATTAAATTTATGTTTACGATTTAGTGCTTCTTTGGATACTACACTTGTATTAAACAATCTCACCACAAAAAAACCTTAAAATGCAGTGATATCTTTTTATTCTTCTAACTTAAAAGGTATTACTGCATTTTAAGGTTTTTTGTGGTATGATTACTATTTAGTTAAGTCCAATATTCAAAGGTTAATCACGGGCCGCATAAATTGATTAAGCAGGCCATATGTTGGCTATGCCTAATCTAGACTTTCAGTGGGTACACTACATCCAATTAAATTAGCTTCAGCTTTTTATTTCTTTTTGCAAATCGGCTCAACACTTTTTGGCTGTAATTTTCTGGGGAGGGGGCACCAGGTTAACTGGGGGGGCATGCCCACCTATGCCCCTTCTTGGCTACGCCCATGTGCACAACATTGAGAAGCATGTTGTCATGAAATTTTTGTTCCCACGGAGGAAAGGAGCACATGGGATTCACTCTAAAACGCTAAAAACTCTAGGTCAGGACTGATCTTCCTCCATAATAGTGAATAAATAAGACACACATTTCCAAACTGGTCATTTTTGAAATATCAAACAAGTTACTCCCTGGATGGCCTATTTCAGCAACAACAGATAAAAATATGGATAAAATTACTGATCTAATTCTTAAAGACCATTGCATTTTATTCAGGGTAATTGACAAAATTTTGTTATTTTCCACAAAAGGGTTTCCCACATAATGTTCTCAACATGCAAAAGCTATTTGCAAAATGGATTCTAACACTTCTCAATTTAGACCAGAAGTGGAATTGCATAATCGCCACCAAAGCCTTTTGGAACATTGTATTGCTGTTGCTAAGGATTTTGCAGCCTGATTAGTAACAATGGGTGAAATGTGGCTTCTTCACTACAGTCCTGAGACAAAGGAACAATCAAAGGAATGGTGTCATAGAGGCTCTTCCTGACCAAAGATGTTTTGTGTCCAGAAATCAGCCAGAAAAATCACAATTTTTATGTTCTGGAACAAGTATGGTCATTTTAATAAAGTATCTGCCAAAGAACCAGGGAACCAATGCCATTTTTTAAATCTCTACTGGATGAATTGCAAGCGACTTTAAAGGAAAAATAACACAGAAAACTAAATGAAGGAAAGCTCTTTCAGCAAGACAATGCCTCACCCAGAAAGCCCTCCAAACCATGCAAAAAAATCAAAAATTATTTATGTTTCAAATTGTTGGATCATCTAGCCTATTCACTGGATTTTGCTGTCTTGGATTATCATTATCATCTCTTGCATGCTTTAAAGAAACATCTTTAAAGCATGCAAGAGATGATTTCTTTAAAGAATAGTGTAGGTAATAAAATAAACTCAGTATTTTTAAACAAAATATAGGATTATACAATTGCAAACTTTGTATAAGATTTATTTAAGATTTTTCTACTGAATCTTAAATATTTGTTTCTAGTCTTGGTCTTTAACGGTCTAGAAATAACAGAAAACTTTATATAAACAAAACCAAAGTTCATAAAAACAAATACAAAATTTATATATAAACATCTCAAATCCCAATACAGTAGACCCGCTATAACACAGGTTCATATAGTTCAGATTCCTATACAACAGCAAAAAAATTGCGACAGTATTCGTACAAGCACGCTAAAAAAACTCGTATAATTCGGTAAAATGTCATCGCTGACTCATGTCGCAACAGGATTGGTCGAATCTAGACCAATAGCAGATTTTGTACAAACCGTTGAGTTTAAACGAGCGGCGGACCTACTAAAAACCACTTATTATTTAACGGCCATAAAAATTATATTTATATTAATGATGTCTCCAAAGTTCAGTGAATTTTTCGCAAAAAAAAATCATTTATTGGGACGCACGCGAGCGCCATTTGATGACAAGCTCCGCGACGAAAACGAGCTTAAGCAATGGCGTCGTCGAACGGTGCACGCTCGGTAAGTAATCCTACAATTTTCTGTTTATAGCGTAGTTTATATGGATTATTCCCAAAAACTATATGTGTTTCGGAAATGTTGAGTCGAATTAGTCTAAAATTGATTAATTTTATGGAAGAAAACCTTTCAAACAGCCGTAGTCCCTAAATTGCACACGTGTTGGGGCTGCGATTGGCTCGTGTATTTAAGTGACTCGTAAAACACGGAATTCATATAAAACTGAACGTATCTACCGTGTTATAGGGAGGGGGTCGACTGTACTTTATAATGAAACCAAACAATTACCAGATTTAAATTGAGCTATTCTACCTCCACTATTAATAATTAAATGCTAAGTAATTTGATACTAAAAATAGGTATTAGGCACCATTTTTATTAAATTTAATAATTACAATTAAATTAATATTTATTAAATAATTTAGAATATTTTGGAAGAAAAGAATTGGAACAGAGCAGGACTTGAATCCACAACTGCCGCTTACCATGCAGATGTGTAGCCAGTTATGCTACCTGGACCTCCATCCAATCCCTCCCTTCCAGAAATATTTAATTTGGATATAAATATCCTTGTTACTTACAGCAACAACTGAAGATGACTTCAGTGTCCATGGCCTATAATCATCCACTATGGCAGTCAGCTGGCCATTACTTCATCTCAGTTTGGTGAAGAAATGGCTGGTTTCCCAGTTTAAATCCAGTAATCATTTGGTTTCATTATAAAATATCAGGCTTCGAGATGTTTATATATGTATATATAATCATACCGTGGTGAAGTGATGACTAACCAAGTTCCATAGTAGGTAATTATAAATAATTACAGTGAGGGTTTTTATGCTAACAGAATATCAGCTTAACCCTACATATTTACAAAAACGAATGGTACTGATGGGCACTCCTCGTCAAAGGTGAAATGTTAATTTCAATGATAGTTACCTAAAAGAAAAATGTGAATGACAGTCTTGTCTTCAGGATGACTAAACTGGATATAGATATTAGTGTTGTAACGAATAGTATATTCGGCCTCAGGCCAAATACCAAATATTCGGCCAAACTATTCGGCTCAATTAATGCACGTACGAAAGTTGGCGCGCAAACCGCATTATGGCAAGGATCCTGCTCTCTATTGGCCCGCTGTCACTACGCTTCGCCAATCGCATTAATTCTTGGCAGTTGTAGCGGACAGACAAAAGTGTCATGGAAGTATGTGATAAATGATGATATCAAATGTGGATAACAATGAAATGACCTACACGTGCAAATAACGGAAAAACAACAGAGAAGGACCACGAAAATGTGAAAATAAATATGAAATTGAGTTGATAGCATAATCGAACAAGTCGAGGCAGCTTATTGGCGCGAAATTCGCAGCCGTCAATGCCAAACAATTGTTGTCATAGACTTCGGAAAGCTAAATGCTTGTAATGAAAGTCACTTAGCGTGCACGGGCGAAAGCCTGGGGCCGTTCGGGCTATCAAGCTGTCTCGAATCTGTGAAATCATAACTGCGACTTATATCGACGTCCTATTTGTCTCTTTTCTCCGTTATCACCAGGCTGAGTCACGTAATTGTAAAATGGGAACTCTACGACGGAAAAGTGACGAATCGAAAGTATCGTGAGCGCGTATTGTGATGTATGCACATGCATACGTGGATTAGAGCGATAGAGGAAAGAGAAAGGGAAGAGCAAAGACGAGCGCTTAAAAAGGATAGGCAGGGTCAGACCCTCAGATGTGCGAGGATTCTCCAACGATAGACGTGTACGTGTGCTGATCTTTGTAATTATAAATTGTGAATACATGTGACTAATATTATTTTCTTTTTTATTTTGTGCATGTTACAAGTTATAAATAAATATAAACAAACAACACTAACTCGATAACATTAAATCTAAATACCAAAACGATTAATTTACTGTGTTTTTGTTATTTATTACCCCTGTTTTTAGGTATTCGGTCGAATAGTGATTAAATATTCGGTATTCGGCCGAATAGTGAAAAATAGGCCGAATACCGAATAGTAACCGAATATTCGTTACATCACTAATAGATATGTTTTTGCATCATATGAATGATAACCCTTAACTTAGACTAATTAAGTGAATCTAGAGCTCATTTCTTAGATCTCAATATCGTCTTTCATAACTATATACTAACTAGCATATATCAGAAACTGAACCACCTCCCACTGTTCAAATCAGCTAACTTTAGTGATTCTTATTACTACAGTAGAGCATCGATTATCCGACCCCCGATTAACCGTCACATCGATTACCCGACCGTTCTAGTTCGCAAATTTCAAATGTCTGCTAGTGATGTGGCAATACAATATTTGGCTATGTCTCGGCTACTTTAATATTATTTTTGTTAAATTTTTGCGTGTTTTAGCTAGCAACACCAGCTCGACCATTGAAGGGAGGCCAGTATTTAAACAAGATTTAATTTTCTAATTATGAGTGGTTGTTTGTTTTGTGAGCAATAAATAATTTAAAAATAATTTTTAACGATACAATAGTGACAATTATTATTTAAAATTTGTTAGGCTTAACACAGGGATGCACAACCTTTTGTGAAGAAGGGCCAAATTAGGATTAAGTTTACTGACTGGGGGCCGGACCTCCAAGCGATTAATGCGATGGCTGAGATTGGATGCTGGCGGCAATCTTCTTGATGTCTGGTGTAATGGCAGATGTTGAAACAACCAGCAGATTTTCCAAATTCTCATTGGTTAACCTGTTCCGTGTTTTGCACTTGTTTAAATTCATAAGCGAAAACGCTTGTTCGCATACATAGGTACTGCCAAACATGCTTGCACAAAATCGAGCATTGTCTTTCAGTTTTGGAAATGATGTATCTG